GTTTCCTGGGTGTGATTTCTTCCATGGATTCTCTTTTGGTGTGATTTCCTCGCTGGTTTCCCTGGGTGTGATTTTCCATGGATTTCTTTTGTGTGATTTCTCCGTGGTTTCCCCTGGGTGTGATTTCTTCCATGGATTTCTTTTGGTGTGATTTCCTCCGTGGTTTCCCCTGGGTGTGATTTCTTCCATGGATTTCTTTTGGTGTGATTTCTCCGTGGTTTCCCTGGGTGTGATTCCATGGATTTCATTTCGTGGTTTCCCTGGGTGTGATTTTTCCATGGATTTCTTTTGGTGTGATTTCCTCCGTGGTTTCCCCTGGGTGTGATTTATTCCATGGATTTCTTTTGGTGTGATTTCCTCGTGGTTTCCCTGGGTGTGATTTCCATGGATTTCTTTGGTGTGTTTTCCTCCGTGGTTTCCCCTGGGTGTGATTTCTTCCATGGATTTCTTTTGGTGTGATTTCCTCCGTGGTTTCCCCTGGGTGTGATTTCTTCCATGGATTTCTTTTGGTGTGATTTCCTCCGTGGTTTCCCCTGGGTGTGATTTCTTCCATGGATTTCTTTTGGGTGTGATTTCCTCCGTGGTTTCCCTGGGTGTGATTTCTTCCATGGATTTCTTTTGGTGTGATTTCCTCCGTGGTTTCCCCTGGGTGTGATTTCTTCATGGATTTCTTTTGGTGTGATTTCCTCCGTGGTTTCCCCTGGGTGTGATTTCTTCCATGGATTTCTTTTGGTGTGATTTCCTCCGTGGTTTCCCTGGGTGTGATTTATTCCATGGATTTCTTTTGGTGTGATTTCCTCCGTGGTTTCCCCTGGGTGTGATTTCTTCCATGGATTTCTTTTGGTGTGATTTCCTCCGTGGTTTCCCTGGGTGGATTTCTTCCATGGATTTCTTTTGGTGTGATTTCCTCCGTGGGGTGTGATTTCTTCCATGGATTTCTTTGGGTGTGATTTCGTGGTTTCCCCTGGGTGTGATTTTTCCATGGATTTCTTTGGGTGTGATTTCCTCCGTGGTTTCCCCTGGGTGTGATTTCTTCCATGGATTTCTTTGGGTGTGATTTCCTCCGTGGTTTCCCCTGGGTGTGATTTATTCATGGATTTCTTTTGGTGTGATTTCCTCCGTGGTTTCCCCTGGGTGTGATTTATTCCATGGATTTCTTTGTGTGCGATTTGCTCTATGATGTCCTTTGGAGATGATTTGCTCCGTAGTTTTCTTTGGGTTTGATTTGCTCTGTGCTTTTGTTTTGATATGATTTGGTTTGCGGTTTTCTTTAAGTGTGATTTGCTCTGTGGCTTTCCCTGGGTGTGATTTGCTCTGTGATTTTCTTTGAATATGACTTGCTTTGTGGTTTTCTTTAGGTGTGATTTCCTCAGTGGCTTTCCGTGGGTGTGATTTCTTCCGTGGATTTCTTAAAGTGTGATTTGCTGGGGGTGATTCTGGCATTCGGTTGTGTTGTAGTCTTTTCGGTAATGGGAGTAAGTCAGTTCTGCTCGCACATTCCACAGCCTATTATTCTATTTGGCGTGTGTGTCTATTATTCATCTTTTATTAGAAATCATTAGATATGCATCCTTATATTCTGATGCCCGTTTTTAGAGAGATGCATTATAATGGAAGTTAGTACTCTTCCAAAACTTCGTAACGTACCATACGACATAAATATTAAACTTTTCATTTCATGCACAGCAAGGGATTGATAAAGCGAAGAATACTAATAAGAAATCTATGGATTTGGAGGTACATCATCATCTTTATCACCATCATCATTTTTTAAGAAACAGTCATCATCACCATCACTATCATCGTCATCATCATCATCATCATCATCATCATCACATACACACTCATTGGTGATAAAAGTATTATTATTAACAAGTTTTACTCTTTTCCTAGGATGTTTAAGTGAATCACTAATTTTTCTCTTAACATTGCTATTAACATTAAAATCAGTGTTGCTGATATTTGAAGAAAAACAACCTTTTACAAGATTTTCTCGCCTTTCCCACAGAGAAACATTAATCTTACACTTGTTAGTTTCTCCTTTCCTTTCCTCCTCCTCCCCTCCTCAACCATTTTCATAGCATTACCATCATTATTAGTATGAGTCATAGATAGAGGATGACCATAAGCAACACTTTGCTGGGAATTGATATAAAATCTTTTATCATCAAATTACTCAAACCTTTCTTTGTATTTTGCGTAGTACACATTATTCCTTTTTTATCAAGTATAGAATGTTGAAGAAACGTGATCAATGGAATGAAAAAGAACATTCTTGAACATCTCGTGCGTCTCTTTTTTTTCGGTTGCAGAACACCTTTCACCGCAACGGCATCTGTCATCGAGTCAAACGGAGTACACTTTCGGACGCAGGCAAACAACCTCCTTGACGAGCTTATGACCTGTTTCAATCTTTAGAAGTCCAGGTTGACCTTTCTTACTGCTGTCATGTAATTCATGGTCAGCAGGAAAGTTCGAGCGATCAATATAATCTTTTAACGGATAGCTCATGAGCTCGCTTTTCAAATGATCAGCCTCCAAAGACAAAATAAAGCTATCAGTATCGCTATATATAAGAGAAGCGCGATCTTATAATGATCTTTTAAAAAATTATACCAGAAATAATATATTTGATATTTTGCTAGCTCTAGTATATGATACCCGATGTATTGCGGTTGCGACATATAAACAACAGGTGTTTTACTGACTGTAATGACTCTCTTCGTTCGCAGAGGAATCATCCTCTGGAAATGAGGATCTTTGACAACGGTTAGAAAAGGTTCAGGTTTGGTGACTACTCTCGTTTTCAGAGATCTATTCAACGGGTTCAATAAACACCTCCCAAAAATACTGTTGCTCAGACATTCGAACGCCATCTGTCTACTCTCGCCTACAGCTTGTGCTCGCCTCTTGACATTACCTCTAATCAATGGCTCAAGGAATTCTTTCTGAGTAAAGGAATAGACGCGACGGACTCGAACACCATCAATAATTGCAGCAGCTTGAGTGAAACGAGATAATTAGTTTGAGGGACGACGTGCGTTGCAACTAATTTTTTGTTATGACGAGGGTACTTCAAGAGACGTTCGCTTATCATTTTTTTTTTGATATTCGGATAAAAGGTTATAATCAATATTTAAATGAGTTAACGCGAGAGGAAGTTCATCCGTTCTTTCAGCAACTTCCGATGACACTTGCAGCGTATCTACAAGAAGCCAGTAGGAAGTCTCAGCATCAAGGTCATGATTGGCAATACCCTTATCGAAAAACAATTGCATTTCCCTTTCATTTAACTCTCGAATGTCTCCTTTGGGTAATTTACAACTCATGCAACCGGCGTATAGACTGTTAAAGTCTCTATATAAAATATAATTACTTCTTTTATCGATATGGATATTACCTAGTTCCTTATTGCATGCCACGGAAAAAAATTGAACGACGGTGGTAAAACCTCCTCTAACATTATCTCTTATTAGTTTTCCCAATTCAGGATCAGCTATCAGCTCGAGTTTCATTTTGCTTGACATTAAAAAGGAATCGAAGCCACACCCGGGTAAAGAGACACAATTAACACAAAGACCATATGGATCGCGCAAGCAAGCTCTCCAAGACACAAAGCAATCCGCCAACAGCCCCGCATCGCACACCGAATAACAGAGCAGGTAATCACGGAGCGAAGCACAACCGCATAATTGCCATACATTTTGCGCGTGCAGATAATCACCATCTGAAAGAGGCTCCTGAGTTAAGACCTTAAAGAAATCCCTCTGCGGGGAAGCGGTGTCATCTAGTTCTGATTCATCATCTAAATAGTCATAGCAAAAATACTGCTTCCCCGATAGAAGATACTTATGGGAAGCGGTTGGAAGGTGGCTAATCATATGTTTTGAGTAAAACAAATCTCCCCCAGAATCAATTTAAGTCTGGGAAATGCTATTTAGACCACCGCTCATAAAAGCCATACTATCTAAAAAAACCCAAGTCGCCAATCTGAACACCTTGAATAGGTATATCCAATGACAATTCAAATAGTATTATGGATATATCATAGCTCACATTATATGCTAAAACAGGTAGAATCATTTTACGGTTTCTCATCTGAAGGTTACATCGTGTGCAACATGCTCCCAAGTAATTATTTCGACGCACCATGTGATCATGATGTCGATTTTTTTCACGCCTTTCGTAAATGGAATATTGCAAATACAGCAGACAATCGCTTCACTGAACCCTCGAATATCCTCACAGGTCATATGAAGTGCGTAGTTGGGAATATATTTTTTTATACTCCTCCAAACACTCATTAGCCGTTTGACAAAATGAGTGGAGGAATCAGATCCGCAATACTTAAAAGTATCAACGACTCTGCCATTTCGATCAATAATTATGCAACTATAGGCAATCCCACGGTGCAGTCAACACACCTGAGCTATTAGTTATACCATTACAATTTTTATCGGCAATGCATTCCGTGTCAAAGAACGCAACGTGCGCGGGTGAATAGGTTTTATAGGGATTTTGGAAATAAAGATAGGTACCTGGATCAGGATAAACAATGGTTTGACTGGCATCGCAGCAATGATCGTGCAACAAACCCTGATCACTCACACCTGTCAGACATAATCGACAGAAAAATTTATTCTTCGAGTAATTTGCGCAATGAATTGGTTGTTCTTGATGAGAGCACAGTGAGAGTCTCCGAGTAATAACAAATAGATTATTCTTTTAATTTATCTGATCCCTTTCTTGCTAAAGTAACCAAAACTTTGTCAGAAGACCTCCGTTTATCGTCAGTATTATCAGAATTAATTGATAAAACTGGTCATTTTGTAAATAAAGATAGAAAATTTATTCAGTATTTCCAATTTCCTAATTTGTTCCCAAGTAATGTTCTGTCTATAATCATCCCAAATTAACCCCCTTCTATATTTTCCAGAATCTAACATATGCTGTAACTTACAATCACGCTCTTCGGTCGAATGAGGATCCTGCTCAAACACTTGGAAAACCTCAAGACGCTGGAGTAGACATGACATTTTACTCGAGTTCGGGTTGAATATGGATCGTCTCCCTCCAACTCCTTGAGGATGAGGTACATCATCACCGAGGACAGAATGCGCCCCCATTCGTACAATAGTAATTTTGAAACGAGAAATTACTTCGAGTATAAATCCGGAACCTTGAGTTTGGTTCAAAAGCTCTTCTAATCTATTAATGAGGTAACGAATCCATTCTTCGATTACCTCATTAATGTCTGTATTATCATAAATCATTCGATTGGGAATGACAATGCAATTGGGAACAATTTCTCTCTTACCCGTTATGTTCATTCTTGAAAGCTGAAACGTCCATTCCGGGCACGCCTTCGCGGAGGGAGCAGGATCACCCAGGAAGTCTCTGCGGGCGACCAGGATGCGGCGAAAATGCTCCGAATGCAGCCGCAAAAAACAACAGGGTCAATAATTGTCATAATAATAATAATAATAATAATAATAATAATAATAATAATAATAATTGTCAAAAACAATAGTTGTTTTTTCGCCAATAGAGTCATGCGATACGTTAGCAGGTTGTCACACCCAAGGGAATTGGCCACGCCCTCCGTTCCGCTGGCGGGGATAATTCGAGTACATGAATTGAATGGACTATTTTGAGTGATTTATGCGAGAGATAATCCGGGTGCGCGCCAGGTAATCACACCTACCGGACGGGGAGAGGGAGGGAGGGAGAGAGAGAGATGAGGAGACAGACAGAGAGAGAGAGAGAGAGAGAGAGAGAGAGAGAGAGAGAGAGAGAGAGAGAGAGAGAGAGAGAGAGAGAGAGAGAGGAGAAAGGGAGAGAGAGAGAGAGAGGAGAGAGAGAGAGAGAGAGAGAGAGAGAGGAGAGAGAGGAGAGAGAGAGAGAGAGAGAGAGAGAGAGAGAGAGAGAGAGAGAGAGAGAGAGAGAGAGAGAGAGAGAGAGAGAGAGAGAGAGAGAGAGAGAG